CCTGTGTTCAATTCCCAGCACCAAACGCAATAATACAAATAAAGAATTATAACTGTAAGTATGATAAGTTTTGAGTCTTTTGCTAATAAATTATTCAACTTGAGAATGGTCACAGATAAGCTCTCTAAGCTTTTTTGTTTTTTTTCTTAAGAAATTTAACTTTGTAGAGTTTTTAGGGCAGGGAGAAGGCAGGTGAATAGTTAAATTATTCACCTATTTAATTAACTTTGTTTTGAGTTATTGTCTATTAAGTTCTAATAATCTTTCCTTGATACCTTCTGTTTACTTTAAAAGGCTTTTCTTACTACAAACTCATGTAAGCATTCACCTTTGTTTTCTAATGTTTTATAATATCAATTTCCCCCATTTAGCTAATTTTTATGGAATTTGTTTTGTTATTGCAGCTAGGTAAAAACCTATTCTTTTCCACAACTTACCCAGCATCGCCTTTTGAATAATTATTTTTTCTTCATTTTTATCACATGCTAAATTCCCATGAATGCTAGAGTTTTATGTGGTCACTCTATTCTCATCCATCTGCATTATACAATTGATCATGTACCACCCTTGTCTCTCCTTTCTGTGGCTTTATAATGTATATTAATATCTCACTGTATCCATCTTTCCAACTTATTGTTCCTAATTAAATAGTCTTGGCTTCACTGCCTATTTAGTCTTCCATCATAAAATTTTCTGCACCCTAAAATATACTTCTCAGAAATAGAAGATAAAAATCACTTCTTTAAATTCCCACTGGTTTCCCTTAAAATGCTACTAGATTTTTTTTTGAAATTTTATTCTGCAAAAATTAATTTCAAGAAGACTGATATATTTACAAAGCTGAACCTTTTCATGAAGGAACATGGTCTACTTCACGGTGAATTATAATGATAATAACAATAATTTAAGAGAAAAACACTTTTCTTAAATTCACGTTCTTCATACAAATCCAGCATATTTCTTGTTAACCTCAATGAAATAAGTATTTTTATAGCACTTAGTGAACATTTCCAGATTAGCTACAGAAATGTTTTTCTTCTACCATCATCATACAAGACTTCAGCCAATTTGAGCATATAAAAACCATTATCATAGATTTAATGTGTGTTGCTCATTTGACTTTTTTGAGATGTTGAATAATTCAGCATATATTTATTAGTTAATTGTATTTCTTTCTTGGTAAACTTTATCTTTTGCCTATTTTCTAAACTATATATTCAAATATCACATAATACTTGTGTATATTTTCTTCTATTCATTTATATCTCATGTTTAAAATTCTTTCCTTCTTGGGAAAAAATATATATGTATATGCAAGGATGGCTGGGACAATTGTACTGCTTGTGTCTAATTGCTTATTGAAAGGAACAGTTAATGCTTAAATTTTTTTTTACCAATTTTGCATGCTTATATTTGGTAATCTGAACAACTAATCTGAAGACAACAATATGCAATATAACAACCATTGCTGAATTCCTACCACCTTGCTTAGTGACGCTCTGTATTACTTCTGGTTTTTTTTATTATTTTTTATTCTCCTTAATTGTTTGATCAATCTTGCATTCTTACATCTGGTAATCTGAGCAACTTTGTTGAAGATAACAGTATGTAATACAACAACCATTGTTAATTTGCTATTATCTTGTTTTGAAATTCTGTATCATTTCCATTGTTTTTGTGTTGTTTTGTTTTTGTCTTTGTTGTTGTGACTTTGTTATTGGTTTCTTTTCTCTTTAAACTAAAAAGAAATTCTTTCCTTCTCTAATACGGTGCTGGTGATGGGGATCAAGGGCCTTATATGTGCTGGGCTCACATGTGAATTTCGACTCCCTAATCCACATGGAATGTATGTCACTTTATGGTGTGAAATACAGACTGGGTTTTGTATTGAATGCTAAGAGGTGGTTGCTTTGTCTGTCAATTGAAGCATGGTGTCTTTTTAGAGTTTACACTATGCCAGAATAATTTAGTTTACTTAATAATTTTCTTATTTGTACATGCTTATGGTACATAAAGTTAACATCCCATGTGAGGAATTGGTATGTGTACATAACACATCTTAAATCCTTTTACTTCCTGCCCCTCCATCCATCTCTGAATTCCCTTTTTTTCTTTTTTTTATGTTTGCAATACTTAGTAATTTGGGGGGACAGACTTCCTTGGCACACACTTCTCAGCTCGGTTATAAAATGTTCTCATTAAAAAGGAATTTAAACAGTGACAGCTAAAGACTCCTAGCAGCTGATACAGCTTGCATCTGACTGTTCTCCAAAAGAGAGCCTCCATGTGCTAAAGGTGCACTCCCCAGTAGGAAATGGAGGAAACTTCAGAGGCAGAGCCTAGTCCAAGGTTTGAGGACACTGGGGACACGCCAGCAGAGGGGACTGCAGACAGAGGCCCCTTCCTCTCTCCCTCTGCGGCTGAGCCATGCAGTGGTTATGGTGGGCCACCTCCCCACAGGCCAAAGCAGCAGGGCCATTCAGTCACAGACTGACACTGTGAACCAATGTACACTTTTTCTCTCTAAGCTGATTTATCTCAGGTGTTTGGGAAAGCGGTGGGAAGCTGACTCACACACTAGCGTGTCCAACAAGATACATTTTCGTTTAAAGAATGCTGACTACTTCAGCCAGCGAACGCCAGCTTTCTGAAAGTCTGTGAAGAGCTAGGCAGGTACTTTTCCCACCACAATCTGTAAAAATGGGTTGCTAAAATTTGCTTGGAAGTATCAACTGCTCAAGGGTACATATGATGAATTTATAGCCACAAGTTTGGCATTCCTACAAAGGAGGTGTTCCATTTACGGAAAAGACAACCCTCTGAGAATTTCAACATATTCGGCAGACGTGAGCTGAGATTCTAGAAACATACTATCTACGCAGCAATGTCAAGGACCAAGAAAACTACCTCTCAGAATCAGACATGGCTGCACATAAACAGCATCAAATTTGCTATCTCAAAACCTAGACTGGAGCCCTCACACCACCTCCAAGGTTTGACCATGACTAAATCTCTTAGAGTCTCAGTTTTCTCTCCTATGAAATGGGTGACCTCATGGGTTGTTCCAAGAACTAAATGAGAAAATCTGTTTGAAGGTATTATATAAACCCTAAAGGGTTGTTCAATCACCAGTAGTTATTAATTAATTTGGCTGATCTAATTTTAATATTCTGCTCCTCTTGCTGTGGAGGAGATGGTGGCACCTGCTGTCCTTGGCTGGGGAAGCACTGTCTGGATTCCACTGCTGCCCCTGCAATCTCACCTTGCTTGGGAGCCAAACTGCTTCCAGCCTGCAGCCTTCCCAGGCAGTGTCTACAGTAGCATTAGTGGAGGGCTTCATGAAGTCAGGCGCAGCCTCTAAGGAGGAAACAGAAGAATGATATTTATTGAGCATCTACCATGTGAATACACTGAAAGGTTACGCTAGCAAAATAGAGACAGGTAAGGACCATCCTTATCACTTTTTGTCGTTATCTTCTTTGTGGACCAGGCTCATGAGATCAGTGACGAAACATCATTCAGTACAGGCCAGTATGTGTTCAAAGCATTAAGTGCACATCCACCCTTGGGCAGTGTTAGGAGTGGCTAGGAGAAAGAGAGACTATTACATGAAAATTAGGTAGGGATCAACAGAATACTTGCACATTGATGAAAAGGCTTCACTGGTTCAAAGCTCTGCTTATGCAATTGGTAAGACTTTGCATTCTTTGTATGAAAAAAGTTTGTTCCGTTTCTTTTTGTTCTCTCTTAGGTGCCTTTCTCTTTTCTTCTCTCCTTTCTTTTTATCAGGTTGCATCTTTCTGCTCTTTAGAAGTCCCAACATCTCCATAGGTCCCTTTTTAATTGATGCACAACAGTTGTAATAATTTCCAGGGCACAGCGTGATGATACCGGACATGCACAGTGTGTAACGACCAACTCCAACTAACTAGCACTTCATCTCCTGAAACACTTGGCCTCTCTCTGAGTTTGAGCCTTCGAGTGCCCCTTTTCTAGTTTTTAAGTTAAATACGAAATCAGTCATTGTAAACTATAGTCGCTGTACTGTACTGCACAAGACTGAAACTCCTCCTTCCTGTCTGCTTATATCTCAGTACACATCATCCAACCTCCCCCATTCTTCCTCTCCCTGCCCTTCCACCCTTTAGGAACCATTATTCTACTTTCTGCTGCTATGACATCAACTTTTTGCTTCCTGATCTGCGTGTGATGGAAATTTTAAATATCATCTAATAGTCTAATACCATGGTAGGACAAATATGATTATCTAGCCCTCCATATAACTCAACAGTTAGACTCAGTCATCCTTGACTGGCTACACCCAGCTGCAAACCATGGATAGCCTGACCCAGCTCCATCTGACTGCACTTAGCTATACACCCTGTACTGTCTGACCATAAACATGCCCTGTTCTACTAACTTGTTTCAAGGACATTCTGCCAGCAACAAGAGATGACCAACACTACCCAACAGAAATTCACCATGCTATTCAATTTAAGGAAAATACAACTCCCTGAGAATTTCAACATATTTGGCAGATGTGGTTCAAGATTCTAGAAACCTACTATCTACACAGCAATGTCAAGGAACAAGAAACTGTCTCTCAGAATCAGATCTGGTTGCATATGAACAGCATCAAATTCAATGTCTGAAAACCTGGACATGATCCATTAAGATCCCTACCTAATTTTCATGTAATATTCTCTCCCTGTCCTAGCCACTCCCAACACTGCCCAAGGGTGGAAATGCAGTTAATGCTTTGAACACTTAGCTATACACCCTGTACTTTCTGGCCACAAACATGTCCTGTTTTATTAACTTGTTTCAAGGACTTTCTTCCCAGTAATGAGAGATGACCAACACTATTACTCACTTACTTCAAGAACTTTCTGCCCAGCAATGAGATGACTGACACTACCCAATAGAAATTCACCACACTTTCAAGCTCCTGTACTTCTTGCTTACAAAACCTATATAAGCTAATTCCAAAACCAGCTCACCTCTGATGACGAGCAATCCCCCATCAATCCAATGGCATAATGAAGTTGGTTGCCTTTCAACTCCTTAATGCAGAGTGTTTTTTATTCCATTTGGTACCAGTTCCATAATGTAGGAACATGTAATATGTGACTTTCTCCATGGGTCATTTAGAAACTGATTTTTTGCTTCCCACTGAAAAAGTAATCAAACATATGATTTTTAAAATTCAGATACTCCAAAAGATTGTACAATAAAATGGAACTCTTCCTTTCACCCAGGAGTAACTACTGTCTTTTTTTCCTTCCATAATTTTCCCCTGCGTACATGTAGGGGTAGAATTAAGTTTCTAAGGTCAAAGAGAATCTCTTGCACATTTAAAAAAAAGGCAGTTTCCTGTCTTATAAGTGATATTTAGTTAATTAACATTGTAAATTTTAAAAACTAGTTTTACATAGTCTTTAAATTAAAAGTACTTTAACCTAGTGACAAAGATCAGATCAGTTGGTTTAGGAGAGGAGAGTCATTACAGAGCATAGGGAAACTTTTGGGGGTGATGAATATATTTGCTACCCTGATTGTGGTAAATTTCATAGCTGTAAACAGATGTCCAAATTATCAAACTGTAGGGCTGCAGTGTGGCTCAGTGGTAGAGCACTTGCCTAGTATGTGCACGGTCCTGGGTTCAATAACTAGCACCACAAAACAAAACAAAGAAAGTATTAAACTGTATACTTCAAATAAGTGCAGTTTATTATATCAATTTACCTCTATAAATTAAAAATATCTTAAAAGACAACTCAGGAGACACTGGAATGGAGCAACACAAGGAAGACAAGAAGGAGGACAGTGGGTCCTCTGGACCCAGTAAGGATCTGAAGCAAGAATTTAAGCCCACAGGAAGGGCAAAGAGAGAAATTGCAATGAAGGAGGAGGAGGAGGTAGGCGGTGGAGCCTTCTCTCTGAGTCAGGACTTACTGTGTGGAAGAGCGATTCAAATCTAAGTTAAACCTACTTTAAATTTTTTAAATCTCTGAAGTGCTCCCATTCAAATTAAGATTATTGTTGTTCTAGCTTTAAATTCAGTAACGTTGGTATAAGAGTTATGTTTGGTTTTGATTACTTCTTAGATATTTAAAATTGCATCTGTAAGTTTAATGTATCTGGTGATCCCAACTCCTTCTAATTCCTGACAGGGCAATCTTAGATGCAAAAAACTAGCCAGGGATGGTGGCACATGCCAGCAGTCAGGAGGCTGAGGCGGGAGAATTGCTCCAAGCTTGAGGCCAGCCTGGGCTACATAGGGAATCTTTGGGTGCGTGAAGGAAGTGGGGACCCCAGTCTTCCTCTTTTGCTTCCCAGTCATGAGGTGAGCAATATTGCTCAGCCACATACTCCCCACCCACTACTGCCACTCAGGGCACCCCCACCCAAGAGACCTAAAACCAATGAGTCTGACTGATCACAGACTAAAGCTGGGAAGGGGAAGAAACACCTTCCTCTTTATAAGTTGGTCATTTCAGGTATTCATTACAGTAACAAATTTACTTATGCACCTTCCAGAATTGCAACATCCTCTATCAAACAAAGTTACCTTTCCAGGAGCTGCTGAGGCCGCTCAGCCAAGGATGAAAAGCTCAGATTGGATTGTGGATCCAAGGTTTGGTCCAAAACTCTGGACAAGAGCCCAGAGCAAGGGCTGGACTAACCTTTCAAGATGTCTCTACCCAGGTCGTGACAAAGTCAAAACAGCGAGAAGGAACTGTGGAGGGCAGGGACACGATCAGAACTGCGCTTTTAAGCTATGACTCAGGAGACTCTTTCATAACCCCACACGCTACCCACACGCATACCATCTGACAGGTATGTACCTACTTCAGGCACAATCTTGGGAAAATTGTCTCTTTTTTTCCCCCACATGTGAGGCTGTGGTTTTTCCTGGGTGCAACCATGGGAGCTCCTGGTATGATGAGCTGGTCTGCAGAGGGGGAAGTGTCCTTGGGAACTGCCTGAAGAGCCCTCAGGGCTGTGGACCGCTCTTGTGGCCGCAGTTGCCCACACTCCCGTTCCGTCTTGCTCCCCTGGAAGGTGCCGAGTCAGGGAGAGAAGGCAAAGTAGAACCTCACAGCTCCACAAGCTTCTCTCGGCTTCGTAGAGCCTCACTTCCTAGGCACCGGCTTGTAATGACCAGGGAAGCGCTTTGCTCCCTCTCAGAATCTGCATTCCAAGACAAAGGGTCATGATGGTAATGCTAAAACAGATGATGGCAACTGCAGACAGCAGGCCACAGTCCTCCTCAGACGTTCACCCTGCTACTGTCAGCATGTTCCCTCCTATAATCCTTCCACTTGAGGGACCCGTGACAAGTATATGCTGAAGGTTGAACGCTCTTCCCTGGCTCCCTGAAAGGTCTCATCTCAGATGTCACCGTTTCCGACAGGCCTGCCCTGACCACCTGCTGCTCTCTCCTCACATGGTCTTACTTTCTTACATCGTGTTTAACACAGTCCACAGCCCATGATTGCCCCCGGCCACTCAAGAGGCTCATCCCTTCTTACTGCTAGACTTAGCTGCTCTGGGTGGAGGCCCCTCCAATAGGCATCCCTTACACGAGCTTCTTTTCTGCCTTTCTGTTCTGTATTTCCAGCTTTCAACAGGACAGTTCCACTTCATGGCTCAGAATTGGCCAGGACCAGTAGCAAGGCTGCATGTAGCCTACATGTTGGTTTCTGGATCAATCTTTGCAATAGTGAAGGAATTAATATGCAGCTTGCTTTCTGAAACGATGACCATACTGTCAAAAGTTCTGCTAGTAAAAGGCTGTATTCCTTAGGATCCACTTGGAAGACACAACAGAGAGAGCGCGACAGAAAGAGGTGGCTGAGACGGTAAACTAGGACTGAGTTAGGTATCTGGTAGTGCAGTCATTATGTCTGATGCTGCTTATAAAAATTCAAAGCATTTTATAGCCATTAAATAAACTTTGGGAACTTTTACCTGCCTATCACCTTACCTCATTTTAAAATCCCTGTAAACATGATCTAGTGTTAACAGCACACGGTAATAATGATCATGTCTGTAGATTTTAAATGTATCTGTTGTAAATCCTGTGCATTTCATAACTTCTATCTGCTTACCAAGAGATAAAATACATTTCTTTTTCTAGGTACTGATTCATAAAAATGTGGCATGTTTGGGAAAAAAAGTGTTTAGTGTTATCATCATTTACAAGTGTTGCTTCCTAACTAGTTTTAATTCTTCTTTTTGTAAAATCTGTTTGATCCACTTAATCTTGAAGGATATTTTCCAAAATAAGCATTTCATAGTTAACCACATCTTGAGAGTATGATTTCAGTGAAGAAGGACCTATCTCCATTGTAAGATAATTGCCATGTAGTTCAAGGGGTCTCCTTCCCGCAGTTCAAGAAGGCTATCTATCCATGCTGTCCCTCTATCAGATATTATTTCACTATTATATGGAAAGCATTCTGCTAGTTGTTGCAGCAAAGGTGAGTAGAGAAGAATCTTTGCCCCCAAGGAACAACAACAAAAAATGATGGTAGAAGCAAATGGAAACCTTTTCATTAAGAAATGCCTCAAAACGTGGTACAACGTGATAGGTTAGTTGAAAGATATTTGAAAATCTGACAGGTCAGGAGTAAATTACAAGCAAGAAAACAACATGAAGCTGAACAAATTGTAAAGTGGATGGTATATTTAATAGAAAGTCATGAGACAACATTGTATTGGTGAGTTGTGTACGCAGGGTTTCAGTGGGAAAAATGTATTTGGTGTTTCAGGAACAAAAATGTTGCCTTTGTGGGATGTGGATTGGCAAGCAAAGGGAATTACTGAAGGCAGGATGGTCAGCTTGACTCCTGCTACTGTTAATATGGTCCTATTGTCCTCGTCGTTCCCCGGACGGAGGACTTCCGGTGCACAGGGAGCCTCGGGCGGGAAGCGCCAGTCTTCCGGCTGGCTAGCTTCCTGCCTGCTGGCTCCCTGAGGGTGGGCCCCTAGCGCACGGGGAGTCTCGGGCGGGGAGCGCCGGTCTTTGGACCGACAACTCACTCCCGGCCTTGGGGGTTTCCCGGAAGGAGGGCTTCCGGCGCACAGGGAGCTGCGGGTGGGGAGCGCCAGCCTTCTGGCTGGCTAGCTTCCTG